AGTGGATGCAAATGGCGCAACACCTTTGCATGTGGCAGCTCGATTTGAACACGAAACTGTTGTGGAACAGTTGCTCCAGGCTGGTGCCAACAAGAACGCAGTAGACGAGAGAGGTTTGACAGCCTTGGATTGGGCACAATTCCTTCAAAACTGGGATCTAATTAGGCTGCTCCAAGCATTTGCTGCAGGCGGTTCAGCACTTGTCATTGCTGTCTCCACCATGCTTCAGGGCGCGTGAAAAGAGAGGAGTTGCGGCCGGAATCGCCTGCTGTTGACTCAATGGAACACAAAGGGCCAGTGAAGACAACCCTTTACATATATAGAAACAATCAAAAGCTTATATATGGCAAGTGATGGGTGTCCCAACTAAATGGAGGACCAGGGGTCCCAGTACATTAATGCGGAAACAGGTGTCCTTTTTAGTTGGTCGGCAAATTGGAACTATCATTAATCGTAATGGGTGCAGGTCGCTCTTCACAACTGTGTTGTCGATTTCAGCCACTGTGTTGTTGCCCAATGCAAGCCAGCCGGAACCTTGAACAGGGAGCCCCCGATCAAAAAAAAGATAGCCATCATCCCTTTGTGGAGCCGTTTGGTGTTGGGCATCGCGCGGCGGGCAGTGGCATGACTCACTTCTCCCAGATTGGATTTGATCAAAGTTCAAATATGAACGACTTAGGTTTCAAAGTGCACGAAAGCCGAGTCACTGAGTTTTAAGTGCATTTGGGGTTTGGCTCCGCTTCCTTTCACATGTAATTTTCAGAAAGAAAGTCCGGTTCCCCGCAGTGGCCCACCAACCAGGCCGTCATGTGATCTCGACAGGTTTGGGACTTGGCCTCCAAGCACATCCTCTTTCAGATGGAGCCCATGAAGGTCTGCCTCGGCGCGGGGTGCTGGATTTCGATTGAACAGTCTTTGCTGTGGAAATTATCCACAGAACATGCGGGAGCCCACTGAACTGTTTAGACAAGTGTGCAATGTGCAATTGGACAATGTGCAATGCATTAGACCATTGTTAGCTTTTAAAACGTTCTTTGGACAATGTGCAAAGCATTTCGACCATGCCACAGTTGGTTTTCGGGACTGACCGGAAATCTCAAATTTAGCCAAACTTGGGGAGTGCATGGGGAAAGTGGTTTTGCCAGACTTGATCAGCGAAATGGCATGGTTTCGCAGCACATGATTTAAGTTTTAAACATGATGGTGCACTGAGCCTATGTTTAAGAAAGACTTGGTTGAATGGAAGGGTCATGGAGCTTTGATGAGCTTTGTGTTATGTGTTGATGTTGGAAAAGTTGTAGCTGCTCAATAAATCCAAAGACTGAGCAAGGCGACTCCTGGGAAGGATATTTGGTGTCTTTTGAGCATAGCGGAACTCTCTAAGCGCTAGGCCATCGTTAGGCCCTTGGGCCGCTTCACCAAGCCATGTTCACAGTGTGTCGCCTGTTGGGTTTCATCCGTCAAGACCACGGTCAAGAAAGCTGGTGGTGGAGCACAACCCCATTTGAAGAGGAATCTAGACAAACCTGTGTCTTATCAGACGAGCCATGTTCCATCAAAACCACATGTCGCTTTAAAGGAGGTTATCTTTTTCTCTCTCTCTCTCTATGCTGGATGAAAGTAAATATACACACCCATAGTAGAACAGACGCGCTAATGGATTGGACCTTTGCACTCTTCGATGTGTGAAATTCCCTTGGGGAACCTACAGATACCCCAGGGGTCTTGGCATCAGCTTGCACATTCGCCGTGCTGCTCAAGTGCTTTGCACCAAAGGCGCCTGACAGTCACGCGCAAGTAGTCGGCAGAGATCCCGCAGAGGCCCTTGCCACTTGGAGAGAGTTGAGGTAAGTCGGTACTCCAAGGACTGGTGATGGAGGTCCGAGATGTATGCTGCACCAGCCGCGATGATTGTTATCAATATGTTGATAGAAATGGATGTAAAATTCGGCTGACACTGAAGTAATACGGTTACAATATGTTACAATTCTATTCCCTCCGCATAATATCATTACTGTACTGACGCAAATGATTTAAATCCAAGAATACCAATTCAACATAATTGTTCCACGGACTTTTGCGTGCCATTGGGCTTGGGCACTAAGGGTGAAGCTAGCGGAGCCTTGATGAGGTTGGCTCAAAGCACCTATACCTACTATGGTTTGGGGCCTCCAGTTTTGAGGCATCCTCGTAGGTTTCAAACCTTTAGATAAATTGAACCTGGTACTACCCCAAACTAAATTGTGCATGTTCCTTGATTCACCATCTCTCTATGTGTTTGCTATAAATTCTAGCAACTCATGGGTCTACACCCATCCTGTGTCCCGTCCCACCTTACCCGCTCTCCCCGCCTGACCGAGGCCTTATGCGGAGCTTCCAGGTGCTGCCGGGTGCCGGCGCCGGCGCCAGCGGCACCAGCGAGGAGGAGCTGCCCCGGAACGCTCAGGGCCTCGGCAGCGGCGCGAGCCGGTGTCTTCGGGGGAAGACGCTTGGGCCGCAGGAAGACGTTTTAGGGCCACTGAATCGCTGAAGTCACTGGGCTGGAAGAGGTTCCTACACTGTGCAAGCGTGGGTGGCCGTTGGGTAAATCTGTAACAGTTGCATCATCATGCAGAGATGTGACTATTTAGTTTCTGTTTGAACCAAGATTTGCTTTGCCATCAGGACACGGCCATTTGCGTTCTCCCCAGGAACCGTTGGCGGTCCAATGCCTCACGGAGTCGGGTGGCGCACGGGTCGAATGGACTGAGTGCTGAAATCCAGAAGGCACCGGAAAAACTCTCAAAAAGCACCGGAAATGATGCACGTATTCTGACTCTCACTGTTCACTGCTCACGACCTAATTAAGATCCACCTTTAATTATCTTCAATCCGTCATCCTCCCATCCTCCAGATGGAACCCATATACTCGGCCACTTCAGGAAGTGGGTCGTCCTCCTTCCCCTCCTGGGCCTCGCACTGCTGGGCTTGGCGTCCACGCTGGCGGTGCGTCGCATCCGCTGCGGAGATCCAGAGGCCTTGGAAGGGAAGGCGCAGATCGATGCGCCTGGGACTGAGGAAGGTATATAAGGTGGGTGGGCGGGGGGGGGGGTTAGGTGTGGGGATGAGGGAATGTGATCCGATGGAACCGAGAAAAGCATGGAATATTGACAACAAAGCTGTCCAAATTTTAGGGTTTGGAGCCTTGGAATGGATGGTTTTTAGTGTCTTTATTTCTTTTGCAGCTCGGTTCACTAACCTTTGCAAACCTTGGGTGGGCACGTTGTGCTGATTGGGTATTCACATAACCCACAAGTCAAACGGTGATGAGGGCTCATATTGCATCAACTTCCCAGAATTGTGGATGTCAAAGCATACTGCCAGTGGGTACCCACCAGATCTCTACAAAACCTACCAGCCTGGAGGGAAACAGTTCAGCTAGGCTCAGGGTGTTACAGTTCAGGTTCACTCGAAACACCGAAGCTCAGCTCGCCCGGTGCTCCGCTCGCCCCCGGTCTGAGGTCTCCTCGGCCCTGCGCAGGGCCGAGAGCCAGCTGCTTCGTGCCGCGGCAGCCGCGAATCGCAGCAGCGCGGAGGAACGCGTCGTGCGGCCCGGCGACCAACGGGGTGAAGGACGGAGGGATTGGCTTCAACCGGGTGCAAAATGATATGTTGGGGTAACTAATAACTAAAGAGAAAACGTGGATTTCTCTCAAAAAAGAATAGATATCTCCAATTATCTCCAGGTGGCGTGATTCAAAAGGTTTGACGGCAGTTGGGCTGTAACCTTTCGGACCCCAACTATGAGGGCAGTGTTGTTTTGTGTGCCTTCCCTGCTTGGAAATGATTGTGTCTACAGTTTTTGTTGGATATAAATGTCCTTGCTGAGTGCTTCGAATGATCTTCCAAGGGACTGAAACATATTTTGCATGGATGGTTGCCGCCGCCTAAAAAAACTGATCAAAGCAAATGGATAGATGGCCTGAGAGCGGTTGCGATGTTTTTGGTGTACGCAACTTGCGGTGGTGCATAACACCTGTACGTCGCTTGGTCCCTACGGGCGATCCATGGGACCTCTTGATTGCGTTTTTGGGCCCTGATTTTTCAGCAGCAGCTCAGTGCCTTAATAATCAAATGTGGAGGCAGGGGATTGAAATATTTAACCAGCAAAGTGCCTTTGGAGACAAAGCACTTCAAAAGCGGGACTCTTTCCTTAGGTGTTTTGTTCGTTTTCTCACCTTTGCCTCGCTTCTTTTGTGTGTAGCCGGCTTGTGTTGGTTCCCTTTACGATTATATCTTTGTGGGGTATGTGGTTCTCAATGATCGATCCCCAGGGACCTCCTTCGACGCAAGTCTGCTGCACATTATATTCCTACACTCTCAAACGGCCTGTGGCTTCCTCCTATTTTTAATCCCGTAACATAGGCTTGTCCTTTTGATGGATTGAAAATAGGAGGAAGCCGTTTTAGAGTGGCTCCGCAAATTGAGGGGACGTCACAGGACGGTTAAGAGCGCAGGGGATTACACGTGTAGCAGTGTGTAGCAGTCTTGTGTTGAAGAACCTCCCGTGGGACCAGTAAGAACTACATATCCCGTGAAGATAGCTGCCTCAAAGGGATCAACACAAGCCGGCTACACACAAGAAAGGTTAGCAAAAGGCAAGGAAACAAAAGAAAGCGCACCAAAAGACAACAAAGAGAAGCAGCAAAGCATAAGAGGAAGAAAAGAAAAGTTTAGAAAGCACCTTGGAAAAGAGAAAAGCACCAGAAAGAAACCAAACAAAGGAAGGAAAGATAGAAAGGAAACCAGACAAGAAGAAAGGACAGGCGCTAAACACGGAACACAAAGGAGATCTTCAAACAAAGCAAAGCAAAGAGCAATGGGAAAGAAAAGCAAAGCTAATGAGCATGCAAGCGGATCAGAAAAAAGACAAGACGATTAGCGCAAGCAAAACACACTAAGAGAAGACAAGAAAGAACAATCCAAAAAAAAGGAAGCGGACGAGCATAATACGTATTGCAAAAAATACGCCCAACGAGGAAAGCGAGGAAGTGAAAAGAAGCGTGGGCAGTAAAAGCAAAGAGAAAAAGACACGAGGTAACCACCAACCGAAAGAACACTAAAGGAACAAGAGAGTACAAGAAAAAGCGTAGAAAGATAAACGAAAGAAGCACATAAGCGAAAGAGCGAAGGGGACAGAAACGCATTTCAGAGATGCTTTTGCATGAGTGGAATGACGTGGAGGAAGAGGAGGCGTGAGAACGGTTCCAAGCACATCACCGATACGATGGTCTGAGCATTGCGCGCCCCAGGCCTTCGAGGATGCCACTGTGGTTCCACCTGCCCGCCTCTTAGAATCTAAGAACCGCCGGTGATCGCGCAGCGCGCTGAGCACCGCATCAGGACTGGGCTGCCGGTGATGTATCAGACGGAGAATCCGTCTGGAGCACGGAAGTGCACACCGAGTCGCGGGCTCAGCGCCTTGAAGTTCGGGCCGGTCGGTTACTGACGACACGTCTATGGGACCCAGAAGTGGAGAATGGGCCGGAACGAACCCAAGCTCTGAGAGAAAGACGTCCGTGCGAACCCGGCGCCTGAACCAAGGCCGCCCATTGGATACGAAGAAGAGGACGAGGATGGATGCCTCCGAGTTTTTGAAGGAGAATCCATCGGCGGGGCGTCGGGCCTGCTAGCGGCTCTGCTACATAACTTTTGGCCCTACTAGAGGTTCTGCTGCGTAACTTTTGGCCCTGCTAGAGGTTCGGTTCTGCTGCGTAAGTTTTGGCCCTGCTAGAGGTTCGGGTCCGCTACATAACTTTTGGCCCTGCTAGGGGCTCTGCTACATGACTTTTGGCCCTGCTAGCGGTTCTGCTACATAACTCTTGGCCCTGCCAGAGGTTCTGCTACATAAATTTTGGCCCTGCTAGCGGCTCTGCCTTCAGAGATTCACAATGCATTTTTTACATGTAAATAACTTTTGGCCGTTCTGCTACATAACTTTTGGCCCTACTAGAGGTTCTGCTACATAACTTTTGGCCCTGCTAGAGGTTCGGTTCTGCTGCATAAGTTTTGGCCCTGCTAGCGGTTCTGCTACATAACTTTTGGCCCTGCTAGAGGTTCTGCTACTTAATTTGTGGCCCTGCTAGACTCTTTTTTTCTAACAGCAAGCCACAAGATTTATTAACCAATATTCACCATACAAGTTTCATCACAGCAAACCGCCACATTTATCCGTGGCTCTTGATCAATTCTTAATCCGTGAATCGCTTATCCGGCCATGGCGGCGGAGCGGAAACGAAGTGACAGCCTCACCAAAGAGGAATGGAAACAGAAATTCTTCAGGCAAGACATTCCTCTACTGCCCTGCACTTAACAAAGTCAAAAAGTCACTTCCCTGATTTTAAGCATGTTTTTTAAATTCCCTCTGAGTTGGGGAGAAGGCTGGGGAGTCTGGCCTGAACCCCCCAAACATAGGGCACCCCGTGAAGTCACAGCTTTCTGTTTTTAGGACCCGTTGTGATTCTGTAGGGCATGGAACAATCATGTGCTTTTTAGTACAAAATGAATCTCTGTCTACACATTCAAGCAAGTATATGATTCTCTAGAACATTTGGAAAATCAAGTCTCTGACCCCTGTTTGGACTCCCCGGGGGATGACATGTGTTTTACTTGCTGGTCACCCTGATTGACATGCGCTTTCCTGGCAAACCCCGAGAACAAGCAACGATTTCAGCGCGAACAAGGTCTAATGAGGGGCCCCCTCAAGGCGCATGGCTTCCTGCGCCAAATGGTGCGTTTTGGCATCCTTGTCCCCACAGCCCACAGAAAGTCTCATGAGCTGGGGTCATCAGGACAAAGCTACACCATGGTCTCCAAGATGTCGCCATCAACAGCCAGTGCCATTGCTTCTTTTCTCAACCTCCATCCTCTCCTCAAATGTTTGGATGTTTGGGGCCCTCCTGCGAGCCTGGCAGCGTGGCAGTCCAGGGCCAGCATGTTGTCAGAAGCTTTCCAGCTGTATCAGATTGACGGCTGCAGACAGAAGATTCATATTGCTCCCAGTGGCTGATTCGCACTATTTTAGACGCTCAGCTGAGCGAGCATGGGATGACCCTTGCGTTGACCAGCGAAGATTGTCTTGAAGACCTGCCTGGACCTGACGAAACTGGCAATTTGAGGGCTATCGCGATGGCAACAGGCGGGCGCCAGGCTCTTCTTCTGAGAGGTCGCCCGGCGTTTCACCCCAGGCCCGCGACTACCGTACAGTGCGTGGCCAAAACAGACGCAGTCCGACTCGGCGAGCCAACTTTTTGGCTTATGCGCAGTGAATCCATTTCTGTCTTTAAAATCAAATGCAACCTGTTCTGCTTCTTGCCCGTTTCTTTCTGTCGACTTGGTTTTTTTGCTTGCCTTCGTGTTCGTTTCGGCGTCTTGCTTTGAGGCGGTTACTTGTAAGCTTTCCTTGTTGGTGTCTTTTTAAGGCTCTGACTTGTACCGCTTCCCTTTTGTTTCATCGCGTCCGCTCATTTCTTCTAATTTGTTTGATTGTTTTCTTCCTTACTCTCTTTCTTTTACTTTGCTTTCCTTCCATCCTTTGCATCTGCTTCCATTCCTCTTCGAGGTTCTGCTTTGCTCTTTCAGTTTTCATCTTTGGTTGCTTTCTTCTCTCGTGTTTTCAGCCAATCTCCTACCATGCAGAAAACAAAAAGGAAAGATGCAAGAAAGCATCATAGAAGAAAGCAAAAGGACCACAAAATCAGAACGAAAGATAGAAAAGAGCAAAGTTTTAAAGGTAAACAAAAAAGGGTCTTGACGTGAGAGAATAAAGTAAACAACAGCAAGTACAAGCAAGAGCCTAAAAAGAGGCCGGCGGAAGCAACGGAAAGTGGAACAAATAATCAAGCGCCAATGAAAACACCTCTGCAGTATCCATGTGCTCTGCGCTTAACGTCTCTTTTTCAGTCTTCGCACCTGGCGATAATCAAATATTGAACGTGACGTGGTCCGCGAGGTAACAAACCTGCACATCACTCACGCCTTCGGGCCACCTAGCCGCCCGCTCACGAAGAATGCGCTCTGCGAGTGGCCGAAACCACCCGCCATGTCCCCTCACCTCGGTTCAAGCAGAATCGCGCTTCCACCGCTTCATGCGGCGGCGGCGGCTTCAGGATACTGAGTGCTCAACCGTGTAGGCACCCTCTCCTATGAGGGCGTTGGTGGCGACGATGCCAGGTGGGGCCTCGTCCAAGTATCAGTATCTATACTTTCAACTTACAACCATCTACAGAAGCGTCCCTACAACGTGCCAGTCGACGTCCGAGGTCCAGACTCTGGAGCGTGGAACCTATAGCGAGGAGAATCGAATACGCTCGTTGCGTCGGATGTTTTGAAATCAACGGCTCAGGGCCCAACGGCCAACATCCCGCAGGTAACCTCAAATATGTCACAGCTGACGCCCATAAACCGCTGGCACAATTTGATTGGCAGCCACTTTCCAATCGCTGAGGCTCCGACGAATTGAAATTCGACGATCAAACGATGGCTGCTTTCTACTTTTCAATGCTCAAGCCCATAGCTACGACGATAGCTTCCCCTTTTCGGAGCACTTCCTGGCTTCCTTAGTCTTCCTTACTCTTGTTTTCCTTCTGTCGCATTCTTTCTTCTTTGGTCATTCTTCTTTTCTTGTGACTACCTTTCTTTCTTTTTTTCTTTCTTTCTTAGCTGTTCTTTCTTTTCTTTGGTTTCCATGTCTTGCATTGTGTTTTTCGTTTCATATTAGCCTCTCCTGTTTGCACTTTTCTGGTCTTCTTCTATCACCAGCTGTTTTCTGACTGAGTAGATACAAAGCAATCCTTACCCTACTGAGTGGGACAAGGGTCTTAACATTGCTTTTCTCGCCACCATGCCATCGCTCTTCGACCGCCCAGGAAAGCTATGCAAAAGGCCAGAGGGTCAAATCTGGTGGGGAACCAACGAGGTTTGCTGCACCTGTGGAAACCCATGAGCAAGTGAGCGGGATTTGATACAATCCATTGTCGTAGGACTTTAGGTCTCCAAATGCGAGTGAGTCCTTTTCACGCCAGGCTGGCAAACACGCCCATGCGCAGTGGGAGAAGCACCATATCAGAAAGCTCGATACTCTGCAGGCACAGCACTGAGCCGGTTGATCCTTTGAGTTTGCGGTGACTTCGCTTGAGCTGCAGTCTGTGACCAGAGTAGCAGGCATGCACACACAAGATACGATGACGATCATTTCGACCCATTTTTGAGTTTATAGACGCATGTTTCAATCCACTTGGGCAGGCCATCATCCTTGACCTAAGCAAAACTTCCTGGGATCTATGTATATGGTGTGTTCCCACGAACCGGAACAGCTCAGCCATTAGAGTCCTTTCCATCCACTCGCTCTCACGTCCTAGACCTGTTGGTGAGCTCCCGTTCACTCGCACAGTCCACCGTCGCCACGCCTTCGACACGCCTTCGCATGTGCCAGGTGCTTGGGGACATCAAAGCCTACAAGAAGACGCAGAACACCCGGGTCGCCAAGCGAGCGGCCCCTTTGGCTCCCACGTGCGCGCACGTGCATGCGAATGGGGGGAGAAAGTTGTGTGTGCGTGTATGTATGTATATATATGTATGTGGTACTTGTAGTGGGGCAAAGGGCTCTTGCTTGCACCAACTGCCAGTGTAGTGAGTGGGTGATGAACTTGGGGGATCGGATAGCCTCCCACATACATCAAAAAAAGTGAATCCTTTGACTCAATAAAATGGTTTCCCCTCAAAAGAGATCTTTCCATCTTCGCCCCACCTCTATTGCTTGCAGTCACCATTTCCCAAGAAAAGCTCCAAGTCACAAAGAAAACAAGATCGCCCTCGCAAACATCCCCGTCATTTCACGCCAGTCATATAATTAGGCACGTTGAACACGCAAAAAAGAATACACACACGCCCAAAGCACACCAACCAGGAATGCGCCTTCAACCTCCTGGAGTCCTTCCTCTCCGTGGTGGCCATGGGCGACGACCTCAATGGCATCCTGCGCACCTGCCCGCCGCCCCGCGACGGCGAGTCGGAGCTCGCCTGCCAGGCAAACGGCGGAGCGAGACGGACGGGGTGGGGTGGGGAAGGCGACCGTGGGGGCGGAGCACCGGGGGGTCTACGGTGTTGGAGTCCTTCTTGGTGTTTTTTGTTGATAGAAGGGCTGCAATGGCTATAGAGAAGCACGTATTGAGTTTGAAGTGACTTCCGCTATAGTAAAACGTTGGAGATGTCTTGTCATTGTGGACACATTTTGTGTAATATGGTCATTCGGAAATACAAACAAGGTCAATCGTTCTGGGAGCCATGCTGGGCAATTCCAAACACCTCCGCATTCTACTAACACCAGGATCACGAAGTGGGATCATGCTGGCGTTGGCACTGTGGGTCTTTTTAATTTGTAAGAAGAAAGATGTGCAGCCAACCTCAATCTTCACGTGGAAAATGGACAACCAAAACAGAAACAAAGCAGAAAACATAGACCTTGCAGAAAAGCACCCTTTCCCTCTTGGCCGTCAATTCTATCTACATAAGAGGATGGTCTCAAAAAAGGATTAGAACTGAATGAGTGCTATAAATCAAATTCTCCCCAGCTGTCTTTCTTGTTCCCACGAGGGAGCTGTGTGGGATCTGTGTGCCACATCACAGGTGGATGGCAGCATTCTGGTGGCCTGGGTGGGGAACTTGGCGACGAAGCTGGCCTTGGCCGCCACCAACTGCGCCTTGTCCCTGCCGCTCGGTCCGGTCCTCATGGAGGAACAGTGGGGAACAGTGGGGAGTGAAACTGGATGAAACAGGGTGAAACGGTGTTCTCAACCTGCCCCCCAAAGTCTGAGTCAAGGCTAGACATCATCTTTCACCTCCAATTCTTCAGTCCTCGCGCATCCCTCTGCTGTTTGGGCCGTTGGATGCCAGATTTGGATCTGAAGTGCATGGGGGGCCAACCACTACAATGCTCAGAGTTGTGGGAACCATGCTCAGAGGTTCGTCATGGACCCAGTAGTGAGTCACCCAAATCCTCTTCCAAACATTTTGGCGATTTGGGATGGGCGCGGAACCCACGCGGCACTGGAAATGGGGTATGGCCTCCTCCAATCCCGGTCTCCCAGCGAAAAAGACGAAAGGGAAAGAAGCACAAGACCTGCGAAGCTCTCCTCTGAACATGTTGAAGGTCAAAAAGTAATCCTTCTCAAACTGAATTACTCACATCCATATATAATTACAGATCCATACATGTTTTTTTGTTGCCGCAGCATCCACTATATAGAAATTAAGAAGCTTCCGTATGGGACAACGACCTGGCGGATAAAACAACACCCCCCCCGCTGCGAGGAACGTGGACGCCGTGTGCGCCGCCGGGGTCACCGGCCTGGTGAGCGCCTTCGGGGAGCTCTCGGCCGGGGCAGCGCTGGGCTCGGCCACCTGCGGCTCGAAGGAAGGGTCGAACGAGGAACCACGTCTCCCTTTGGAGTGAAGGAAACGTCTCCATTGTATAGTAAGTAGTTGCAAAGATGTTGGGAAGAGGGCAGTTGGGCGATTCAGGGGGAAACATGCTGCAAAGTGAAGTGCAGGAGTTCCATGATTTTTAGGGGAAGAAAGATGTGTTTATATCGAAGTTCCTTCATCGCAAAGTTAAAATTTGGGGATCTCATTTGTGTTTGTTTACAGCTGCCCATCCCAAAGGAATCTCTGACTCTTAGGCCAAAAGTTTGAAGGTTGTCATCATTGGAATAAGTTTCTTGTTCCCACAAACTGTGGATACAGATATATGAAGATCAATCATCATTATCCAGTGTTGGTGGGCCGTATTGTAGCGGTTGACTACTTTCCGCAGATGTTTGTGAGAATGGGCAGGAGCGCAGGAGTAGTAATCAGGTGCAGGGTTTCATGCACCGGCAGTGTCACTTGCGATTGTCCGTGCACAAATGTACCATGGGTTCCTGCAATGGCTTATGATTGAATACTCATTGTTATACCCTTGTGATTCCTGAGTCAGTTCAGTCTTAATAAGGCCATCAACCCATCCGATGGATCTTCCTTGCCCAATCGAGTAGAACTTCCAACAATACTTGCCACGAAGGCTTTGAAGTTGAGAGGAACAACCATCGAGACCACGGTGGCGGTAGAACAACGATGGTACACACGAGGCATTTTGGTCAGCCAAATGTTCAGGGCCTCCAAAACCTTTTGCAGAAGGCAGTTCCTTTTGTTCCTTTCTTCGTACATGACTCCAACACCCCAAAACCAGATCAGCCACCCCACCCATCCCAAACGAACGCCCCGGCGCTGGCCACCCACCGTCCTGGACTGCGCCAGACCACCCGGCGGTACGAACGCCCCGTCCACGAGGCCGTACCACGCCGGTGCCCTTGTCCACCACCGAGATCAGTCAGCTGGGCGACACGAGCCTCAAGGGACGACGTCTGCTGATCGGCCAGGGCGAGGCGCGGTGGTCGACGTCGACGTCGGTGGTGTGGTGGTGTTTTTTTGCGTGGTGTCCTTTGTTTCGGAACGGGGTGTTTGGGCAAGTGGTGATCTATTAGGGTCGGTTAAGTGGCGTGTGTTTCGCGGGGGCGGGGATGAGTGGCCTCCTGGTAGGTAGTGCGAGGGTTGGGGGAGCTACTGATCACAGTAACCGGTGCATCCAGAAGGTATAGTTTCCTTCAAACGTCAAGACTTCCTCTTATGCACTTTAACGGCTTTTACGCATACAACCTGTGGCATGGTGGGGGCATCCATTGTGGGAGCGGTTTTCAACGGCTCTGACGCACAACCACCGGACCGTGATCACCGGACCGTTGAGACTGAGTAACCGGTGTTTTGTCAGGTGGGTTGGTTCGCGTGTCATGGACTTGGGATGTCTGATAGAACTGATATTTACTCTAGCAGAAGCTTGACCCGTGATTGGAGCCTTGTACTGTAGGAAGTCTCATCAGAAGCTTGATGAGGATATCACGACAGAATACTCTTAAGTTTCCAGCTTCCATGCAGGCTGTAAGGTCAAACTTTTGGATGGTATGGAGCAGTTCCTCCTAAAGGAACACTGTTTTTTGTTTTTTGGTGTTGTGTGTATTCTTTTGTACCGTTTTGCAAGTGACCAAATAGTCAGAAGAACTGCTAATGATTCCTCAACTGCCCTGCCCAGTTCAGACTCGTGCAAACCAAGCGCCCCCAAAAGAAATATCTGCAGGTGGGCAATGGAGTGCAGTGCGCAGTGGACGTAGGTATGGTGGCAGCCAATCTCGCGACATGGCTTAAGCGGGCAAGGAACGGTTCAAGTTGTTCATGTACGGCCCATTTGGGTTCCTCTTCAGGGGCCACGCGCAGTATAGACGATTCACCCGAGGGTTGGTCAGAGACGTCCTGGCTTGCCGTTGATATTCTTTGGCCAAACAAATCCAGACGTCCTTCGCACAAAAAGAAACCAGACGAATCCAGACGTTCCACCTGGTCTGTTGGAAGATTCTACCTTTTGCAATTTGATCTTGAACCTGCAACCCTATATAAGCTGATCAGTAAGCTGACCTCATCTGCTCCCCAGTGGGTCAACACCGCTCTACCGCGCTGAACCTGCCAGACGATGCGCTCACGGTCTGGCGGGGAAGGGGACACCGGGACATGGCAAAAGGAACCCGTTTTGGGTCGGTACCAACAGCAGGCACTTGCGGGGCAACTGTGTCCTATACGTATACTTTCAGGCACTCAGGTACCAACAGCAGGTACCAACAGCGGTAACACACGTATTCCGAGTAAACTCACATGTGAGCTCGCGCCAAAACTTGATTGAAGACCACCCATGTCACCACCCATGCCATGCCGCAATGGACCTGGACAAAATCCCTGGAAACACGAGACAGACCACCTTGGTGGCCCACCGTACCTGGCTCTCCTTTCCTTCCCTAAGCTGGAACTCTTGGTCTTGGTTGTTGTGCAATCCTTCCTGACCCAACTCCCTTTCTTGAATCCCTCCAAAGTATGCAGCTCTTTGGAGAGGACCTCCACGTCTCCACGTCCTCCGTGACGGCCGATCGCGACGGGCGGTTCGGGGCGGGGCGGAAGAAGTGAGGCGAATCTGGGGATGGCGATCAACAAGGCGGTGAACGTGCACGATTGCCCCTGGGCGGCTGAGTTGAGAAGGGAGAAAGTCCCGGACCTATGGATGTTCCTGGAGAGGGAAATAGCCTGCAAATAAGAAATACTGCTCTGGAAGGCACCTATACCATATACCAGTTAAGATAGCAAGCATATTTCAGAGTTCAGACCTTGCCATATGAGGGATGGTGCCAGGGATGGTCATGTTGTTTGATGTGCGGGTTGATTTAGTTGATCCTGATCCCTCTAGTCCAGTGAGTCTATGCTTTCTGGATTTGTCCTCCTCAAAGCTAAAGCACACAAAGGTGCCCAGCCATTTAAAAGAATATCATCAAATTGAGAAACACGTTCTCTAAAAAGCTAACCTGTGACCCAGCCATCTTCCTACTCGTCCTTTTTTGCTTGCTTATACATATGTTACAACTGACCACCCAGCCGGCTGAGGCAAGAAGAGCACCTTCAAGCGCCCTCTGAATGTGCTGAAGGGCATCCCAGAAGCCTGGTGCACCGTCGACATCGGCGGCGCCGTGGCCTACATCAGCCAGGCGCTTTCAGCGTGCGCAAAGAGCGTGCGACCAAAACGGTGGGAGGCCGTGTGCTTCGAACGCGGAGGATGTGGTGGATGGAAAACGGGTGTTTCGGCGGTCGCCTGAAAATGGTGGTTAGGAAGATGAAACGTCCTTAGGAGCCCGTCGCCCGGGGATTTGGAAACCCAGGTGGTAGAGATCTGGAATGTGTTGGTAGAGATCTGTTGCTTTTCGTTCGGTGATGAGCGGAGCGTGGTGAAATGAGTGTTCGACCGCACCACGCTATTCAATGAATTTTCGTCCTACGAAATGGACAGTGCACTCTACTGGCTATTCCAACGGGATCCAGATGGTGGAGGAGTTCTTTTCCACCAGACTGTACGAGCAGCAGTGCTGAGACCGATTCGGAACAGATGTTTTTGCATGGATTGTGTACAGAATGATGGCTAATTCTTTCAATTATCCTTTATCAGAGATCACGGGTTAAGATGGCTTTCTTGGGACGTTCAACTGTGCCACTTTGGAAAGAGTTAAATATGTGATAAAACTGACTTGCTGCTGTGTGGAAGCCCGCCGGAGGTTGTCACGTTCATCAATTTCATCGTGGTGCACTGTCGCTTGGCGGGGTTGGCACTTGGGATGCACCGGCTTTCTGTGGCTTACCAGAAAGCAGAAAGCAATGAACATCAGGTCTCCAGCCACTTCAACCAAGATCAACAAAGGAATGGCCCCAACAATCTCCCAAACGAGTCAATTGTTCGGGTATAGCATGGTATAGCTAGTTGTCTTCAAATCTGGCATGTGCATGTGTTCATCCCCCAGTCACCTAGAGTGGGTCATATGACCGGACCCCAGAGAGAGTGGTGGTAACCTATGGACAGAAAGGTCCGGACTTCGCTGCTAAGAGGGTCTTCTGTGGCAGCGAAGACTGTTCGTAGCACCGTCTGAGATGCATAGCATCCTTATTCGTGCATCGTTAGTGCCATTTGACAGACTCCAGCAGCCTCACCTTCGGTGCCCCAAAGGCTTTGAGGAGAAAGAGCCTAAAAGAGCCTTCCACACCGGCCAGCACCGCTGGAACAACTGCGAAAACGTCGCAGTCGCTGGAGATCTCCGAAGCGAATCGAATACAGTACCCCAGAACCGAGAGTCACTCTTCCCCTTGGATGAAGAGCTACTTTGGGCATTGGATGCGATGCAAGTAACTCCATTCGCATGGAACACCGCCATTTGCAGCTTCGAGACTGATTTGCTTTTGGAGATCCATCTCGCGGATGCTACAGTGGTTGCTCACATGAACATCAATTCGGAGCTTTGGACTTGTTGGCTCCAAATGTCCATACGTGGACAATGCAGAGTCACCGCGTTGCATTCAAAGCGGCAGCGATGAAGATTGCCCAACCCTTCCTTTGCAGTCAGATCCGCAGCTGGCATCAAGTGCAGGATGTCTTCCTTCCGATGAACCGGCTCAAAACCTGAAGGTAAACCACATGCCCTTCCAACATGTCCTCTACAAAGAGAACGACCTCTGGGTGCTTACCTGGTCTGCTGTGATACGGTGGTGCTGCTGGTGGTACGGTACCTTCCATCCGGTCCGTTCCTTCGGCTTCGAAGGCGAAGACTTCCTGGACATCAACGCCCTCTGCGCCGGCTCCATCGCCGCCATCACCACCGGCGCGGCGGCGGTGGCACCGTACGGAGCGGCGATCCATGTGGGCTGCCGGCACAACGCGCTGATGAAGAACCCCCAGGAGATGGCAGACATGGCAGACGGAGGGAGGGAGATGGAGGAAGGTGGTGGGCATGATGGTATTTTGGAATGAATATGGAGATATGGAGCCAGCCTTTTTGTTTTTGATGAGAGACATGACATGAGACATGGGAGACATAGGAGGTGATGCCGGTAGTTTTGGTGATGTGAGTTTGTGGGAGCTTTCGAAAGCTATATCCTCCGCCCTCACATCAACACCTTCCTTTCGCCAGAAGCGGCACATCACCGAAGAGCGGTTTGGGGATGATCAATCATGATGTGCGTGGACCGTCGCCCAAAGAATCTTCCAACACGAGGATTGAGGACATGAGCTCGGGCTCAGTGTCGCATGTTGGAGGAGAGTCATGAAGGATCACCTTTTGAAGCAGAAGAGTTTGGCTCAAACACAGGTACCTCATAGCAGAAGGACAGAAAGGCATTGTAAAAAGCCGGCGATGTGACCTTCCCGGTGAGCTTGGTTAGGAACTGGGAGACTAGGGAGAAGGAAAGGATATGAAGGGGTGAACAACCTCTGTTGGGGCTTCGCATCCAATGTAAAATCCGTGGATGGTGCATTAGGAGATGCGATGTGAACGATGTAACTGCTCCCCCAAAGACCTCCACTGTCCCAAGACCGCTGGACGGAAGATCTGAAGACCTAAGGGATGAGACTGGGAAGCCCCGAACGAAGCGACAGGAACTTCAGAAGATCGAAGAGATGTGGGTGTCTCGATTCAGCATGGGGAGATGTGGGCGCTCAGCTCACAAGTTCCATCTATGGGTCTTTGCTGCGTAGAGCTGCGTAGAGTGTGTATGTGTGTGGAGGCTTTCGTGTTTACCCGGACTTAGCCTCCCAGAGCGGAGCAGAGTTGATAGAGACGCAGTCGCACACATCGATACAGACGCTTGGGGGTGGCTTCACGTTTTTGGACCACAGACCAGTCACAGCAGATATTCCCCCGGGCTCCAGTCGTGCCTTCGTTTCGAAGGTGTTCGGGGTGGGTTTGGAGGGTCCAAACACCTTCTGAGGAGGTACTTGGAGCCCTAGGGATTAGTTTTGAAGACATGTTGCAGGGCAAGGTTTAATGCAACAGTGGAGCGTCCCAGTGTTGTGATAATAACATGTTGTAGGCCGCTTAGGATAGACCTTCAAAGTTTGCCAGCAGACCTTGAGCAATTACTCAATCCATCAGGTGAATTTCCGATGTCCACTTGAAGCCTCGAAGTTTCAGAATTCATCCGAATATCAAGGACACCCAACAGCTCCTCTAGCTCCTATAGGGCTATTCATCTTCCAAACAACCACCGTCACACGCAACGTGTGTTCTCCCGCCCTCCTCCCGGTCGCCTCCTACCGCGGTCACCGTCAGGTTCTCCCCACCGCGGCACTGCCCCGGCGCCTTGCCGAAACCCCGCCGCTGGCGGAGAGCCTGGCGACCCTCGCGCGGACGCGGACGGCCGCCCGCGCGATGGGCCTGAACGTCTCCGGAGACATGGCGCAGGTGGGGCGGGTCTTGGTTTTTTAGGGGATCCTTTTGGGAGGGGAAGGGGATGAGGGAAGTCCGAAAAGGAGAGTTGGTCAATCCTCCTAGGCCTCCAAGCACCTTCTGAGAAGGTGTTTGGGGTGGGTTTGGAGGGTCCTGGTCTTGACCATCGTGTTCGGCACCCCAAAGGATCAAACTGGAAGGTTGCTGCAGCTGCAAACATGCCGATCCAACCTTCAAAAGGTATACTGTATAGATCAGTTCCTGTTCAAAGGGCACGTCCCAGTCACCGCTTGCAGCCCAAAACCCTCGTCGTATTGCCCCTCGCCCAGACAGACGCCGAGACGCTTTTGAATCTGATGAGTGCTGGACTAGAAGAAACGCGAAGACCGCGTGCAGCTTGGCCGTTTGAATGCTGAAACAGGAGCTGCGTTTTTTGGTCCGCCGACCACGGGACCGTTGCGGCGGTTTCTCGAAAGGGACCGCTGGGAGGCGAGAGCATGCCAAACAGGTGGGAGCTTTACTTGAGGAAGTCGTTGTGCAAGTCTGGTTCATGCGCAAGGGCAGTTTCCTTCTATATGTTTGGTCGATCTAGCAACTGGGGCACACTGGCCCAACTCTGGTTTTCACACTGTGATATTTTTGGATCCCGAGAAAGTACAGAGAACTTGGATGTTTGAAGTCATGAGACAAGACAAGGCGAGATGGTTTCTGTCAAAACCTAATAGACGCTGGAGTTCTTGGATCTCATATGATAGCAAGTGACTAGCAGTCGCCTCGTATTGTGCCAAGCGGATGCGGCCATGGGAGAAACCTCCGCAGAAGTAGCAATAAATCGATATAATTCAGCCAAGAATCACGCCCAAGAGAAAAACATCTGCATGTTGACCCTTTCACAAGTCATGTGGCGGTTCTTAGCCAAGAAAAAAGACCATTCCGCAGAGTGATTCATGGCAAGTAGGTGCTGGCACCCATGGGTACCTGGTGCCTGTGTAGCAGAGTGTGAATGTGGGGCATCGGCACAAGATCCCTTTTGCCCCGTTCATTCATACAGGGTGGCGCGCCGGGGAGAGTTCCAGCAAGTGGGGACGAGCCAGAGTTGAGAATCACTCCAGCCGCACTACAGCCGCAGTGGCCATTTGAGTGAGTACTTCCAATAGGAAGACTCCCCTAAAACCTGCGGAAACCTGGCCCCTGGGGTAGACTGGTCCAGTTTCGACTTGAACCCAGGGGGTGCTGGAACTGGAAGGTCTTCCGATTTGGAGCTACAGAGACCCCATTGGTTGAAGAAAACGTCGTTGGACACCACCCACCAAGCAAGTCCTAGAAACCGGTCTCAGACGGATGGATGGTCGGCGTTCGGGGGTGAACTGCCGCCTCACCGGCTGCATCGATGGAGTGTTGAAGAACGTCGCGTGGTGCCAACTTCCCTTCAAAAACCACCTCAGACTCACCCCCAAAAGTTTGACGCCTCCATCTCTGAACCGGCCTCTGTGCTGAACTTGACCCAAAAAACGTCCTCCGGCGTTTTGTTTGGGCGCCCAGTCCGTCTTCGGCTGCTTGAGCCCATGCCTTCGGCCCGAAACGCGACGTGCAACCGGCCAACGCCGACGGTCCACGTTCACCTCGGAGACTCGATGGTGGTGGTGGAGCTGGTCGGTGGAGAGGGGCCGAAGACCAAAAGGAGTAGCGCGCGAGAGGCGGGCGGAGAGGAGGATCAGGGGCGGCGTTTAGGACTCCTTGGATGTCTTTTTTGGGAGACTCCCAACTTGTTCCATGGTCAACGTTGTGTCTCAAACACTTGTCTAACGACTCGGTTCTAGTGGACTTAAAATGAGGGTGGTTGTGGAAAAGGGAGCTTTGGACACCACCCCCAAAAGTTTAGGACCTTTAGCGTCCGGATAGTATGACTTATTATCACCCAGGTGTGATGTTGAAGCATGGTGCAGACAAACCATTCAACGGATATCGGGAACTGTCGACGTGGTTGCGTCGGGTTTTGGCAAAGGATCCTGGGATGTTCTTAGAATGCACTGAGAACCACAGAGCTGTTGGCGCTTCTTTAAATGGCGTTTCTTGAACGGCGCTTTGATACTAAAGAGTGCTGGGGCTTGGGGCTACCCATGCTAGGTCCAAACCTGGCGGTGTTCGGGAGCGGCTTGCTGCAAGAGGAAGGCATAGGAATCATAAGAAGAAGACCATGTTCTTCCCCTTGCAGTGGTTTCTTCTGTTGTTGTTTGTTGACCTGGAAGAAAATCATTGAGCAGTTGGGGTCGGGGAAAGGAACCAGTGTTGGCTGTTGCTGCAGACCGGCTGTGCAAGCTGGCGGTGGAGTGTTTGGACTGGTGTCAGGTTGCCAGACTTCTCAATGGATCCAACAAGCAAGCCATTAGAGCTGGTAACCAGTAACCAGTGGTTCCAAACGCTGAACATGTAGATCTCTAGAACCCCCGAGTTCTATCTATAGGATTGGTCTCTTCGAAACAGAACTATTGAAAAGTCTCTGGAGTTTGAGAAGATGCTCCTTGCTTTACTGGGGCAGTGGTCATGTTGTCCCCTGAACATGTGGTCAATGAACCAGGACAAGGTTCGTTTCTGTCCATGTGTTGGGCCATTTCTCAAGCATTTGCACCCCCCACGGAAAGGAAAAGTAGAAAACCGGCCAGTAGATGGAAAAATCGACAAAAGATCGACGTCAAACAGATTATTAATTTTTAGTAGAAGCAGATGTTGCGGAGATGTAGATGTAGAAGTAGAAGAGATCTAGAAGTAGTAGTAGAAGGTAGTTAGAAGGTCTTAGTGGGATGACACACATCTGCTGGTTGAGAACTTCTGGAACCCAAACGTCCCCCCAAACGTGCTTCTTCGTATGGCCAGGATTGGATCGTGAGATTGGCATGGAGCAGTCACGGTCGGGCACCCCACCGGTCGGAGGAACGCCGGAAGCGTTCGCGAGCGGCCGTGGCGCTTGGAGCAACTGGAAGCACCAACAAAAGCACTGCACGTCGTACTGAAATGGCAATTAGCTACTTCCCCTTCACTTGGCATAGGTGGAGAGTGGACTTAAGAGCCTCCAGTCAAAGTCAACCGACCTCTTGTGTGCAAGTACGGGGTGTGGTGCTATGTCTGACAGGTGCTACAGATTACGAACGTCTTGTGTGAGCGTCCTTTTCTTCTAGCCACTCCGGCAACGAGCAGCTTCTTGGGGTTCATTGAAATGTCATTCCGTGGTCCAAACTCGCAGCTTGTGTGCGGGGAAACCAAAACCAGCGAGGTGCAAACATTTCACCCTGAGAGTGACGCACAGCGCCTTCGATCGAGGTGTCTGAAGAAAAAGCACCTGCCTTCGGGGGATTGGAGCCATGAAGATTCAGAGGTCATTTCGAGTCATGAAAGTGTTTAGAGTCCAAAACCTCAGAAAAAAAAGAAAAGAGAAAAAACGGAGCCATAGAGCCATGGTCATTTGACTTCAAATCGGTGGAGGTCTGATGGTTCTTTGATGGTTTGGAGCATGTTTTGGAAGTTCCATTGACCCCACTGGACGACCCGGCGGAGTGTTCCACCTATTCTCTTCTTTCATCCTCAACCCGCCTGAAGTCGACCCCATGAAGCCAATCCATGCCGGAAGTCCAACCCACAAATGACCTAAGACAGAGTGGTTCGAGGATGCCGAGGAGGTTTCTGGGTGCATGGCTTCAGGTGTTTGTGGCAGCTCTCTCTCTCTCTCTCTTTCCTTAGACGCAGGGAACACCGCCGCCTCTTCCACCGTTTTTTTCCGCCCTCGCCCTCACACCCTCGCGATCTCTGAGGCCTTCTGGCCTATACGCACGCGGGCGCGCAGGGCGTCCGTCGGGGACACCCAAGGGTTCGTTTCACCTCCACAGTGGCCGGCGCCGCGCTGGGTTCGAGTCGGGCTGTGTTGGTGGCTGTGGGTCAAAAGCACCAGGAGACGGACCGGTTGACTTCGCTTAGGAGGTCAAGCTGCCGAGGGATGAGGGCTCCAAGGTATGACCCACTGCCAGGTGAGTGGTTCGAGTTCAGATCGCCACTGCAAAGGAAGCGGTTGAGATATGTTTCGCTTTGAACAGTGATGGATCATGGCGCGTGTGGTCCTGCCAATTGAACTCACAGTACTTGACCAAGTTAGGGTGACTCAGGTGCCATCTACCTTTTGTGGGCATGGTGGAGAAGAGTCGGTGGCAACATTCAAGAATCGGGTGGTGAGTCGCGTGCCTGTCGGGATCGGAGAACCCAAAAACCCGGGAACATTTGGAAAAAAAAGAATCCGTTGGTGGGAGAGGGATAAATCTCTCACAGAGGGAGCCATGGAACAAAGATGCATTGTTTTCACACCCGCTGATGGACGCTGCATGTTCTTCTCGACATGGTTGGAACCCATCGGGAAGGCCTTCGGTCCATAGAGGTGGCCCCCAAAATCCGGTTCTTCGGTTGCCCCAACTGACCGATATCCATCCCCTACAAGTCCAAAGACTGGTCTGCCCTACCTCCTTAAGTATTGGTTTTGCATGACCATCCCCAGTAAAATGAGGTCTTTGACTTGCAGGGATCGATGCTTTACTGCCCTGCGGAACCATCGCTGCGGAATCGGTCCTTCGCTAAGGCCTTGCTCCTCTGGAAGAGGTCGCACCAGCGCCAAAGGAGCTTTTGGTAGGTCGACACGGTCGGTGCAGCATTGCGTCCACTGGGTAGGTCTCGTTGGCACCGTTCACGCTCTTGGTCGGCGGTGTGCAGGGAGGGTCACGGAAGGGCTAGTGACTAGTAGCAAGTGCATCGCTACTAGAAATTGTAGCTTGTTGTAGACTACGTAGTAGAAATGCCAGGAGCTACTAGTAGCGTTTTGAGTAGCCTCTTGTTACTAGGAGAAATGCACTTGTTACTAGTAGCTCCTGGCATTACTACTAGGAACAAGAAGCTACTAGTAACAAAGGGCATCGCTACGAACGGAGCAAGAAGCCCGGACAGTTTTCCCCACCCAAGGTTAAAAAGAACACGACATTTCTTGAGCTGGTGGGAGATGCGCGTACATGTCCAGTGTGAAGAAGGGGTCCAGTCTCTCTTTCATGTTCTTTCCCCATGACATGTGGAATCGGCAGACCTGGGAGAAGGAATTCGTGTCATCAAAGATTGTCCACCTGTTTTCGTGTCATTTGGGATTTGTGCAGCTGCAACCTCGCTGCAGCTGCCAACTATGCTGCATGTTGTAAACCTTGCCAAGCTTATTTGGAAGCTTGTGAAAAGTTGAGCCTCCTCCCCCCAAAACAAATCTGCAAACGACCCAACAGCTGCGCCTTGGCGGCACAGCTGCAGCGCCTTCCGGACCGAGGCCACAGCATCCACCACACCTCCACCGCGCCACGCGAGTCCGTCCGCAAACCGCAGGAGATGCCGATGGAGCGGTCCCAGGAGCTGGAGGACGCGGGGGGGTTCCTGGTGCAGCTGCAGCTGGTGCGAGAACCGGGTGGAAAGGTGCCGTCCAAATGAGAAGTGAGACGTATATAGCTAGACATGTATATATATGATATGTGTATATATATATATAAAGCCATGTGAAGCACTTTCATGCGGTTTTCCAAGGAACAGTTGTTCGAAAGTGGTGATAATTCCCAGAAAGGAAATACGGTTTCAGACATGGCATGTCTTTGCATCGTATGTTTACATCAAAATAGACTTACATATATAGCTACAGCGAAATGTCACCAATGGTTTGATTGTTTGCGGTGGATTTCGATGCTCTCAAGCGGCGCCAGCTCTTTTTCTGTCCCAGCTTGCGAAGCTGTATGCGCTGTATGCGTGAGCAAGCAAAATTGGTTCCGGTCTCCCATCTCCACTGGAAGGATCCCGCGGGGCTAGGTTGCGTGGTCCTTCCTTCGCAGAACCTTAAGGAACTCGCCTCGACGACAACATCCATAATTACGTATGTATACCTTGAGTCTCCAAAGACCCATTTGTTCTGCGTGTTTGTTTTTTGGTCCAATTTGTTTTGCGTGTTTGCTCGAAACATGCGTGTTGGACGCCTTCGAGACGCAGAACAAAGGTCTCAGGACTCTGTCTAAGGAGGATCTGACAGGGCACAAACAAAAAAAGGAACATTTCGTGAAATCTGCAAAAAATATGTTCTTTCAGAAACCTCTTTTTCTTGGAAAGGCAAATTTAAAAGGGTCATTGGAGACTCAAGGTATCAATGAGAATCTTGTGAAATCGTGGAGACTTTTGCAGGCCGACTGAAAGAATGCGCGAAGCAAAAAGACCCAGAACAAAGTCACAAAGCTGAACAACGCTTCCAGCCCAGTCACAGAACTACCAGAAGGGCACTGAAGAGCACTGAAGCGGCCACAGCAGCCCAACTCATGAACATCTACGTGTGAGGCAGCCCAGCGCACTGAAATGGAAGGCTCGGGAGCCCTGTTCATCGAGCTTGCGCACTGATGCTTGTTGTGGCAACGAGTGCCGCCCCCATCCGCCGCCCAAAGGCGCCCCTTGGATGGGACCCCTTCAACGCGCCATGTCTGCAAGCACACTGGCGTTGGGGCTACCACGGCTATAGATTGACTTGGCGTTCCAGAAGATGGTGGAGCCCCCATGGTCGGGTGCCATCAAAGCAAGACCAGATGATCTTGGGCGCCAGCTTCGGGAAGGCCTTGCATGCAGGAGGCTGAGCTTTGCGATCACAAGACATCGACCTTGCGGCAAGGCCCACAGGATATCGACCTTGTGTCGAAGTGATTTCCAATTGTTTCAATAAAAACCTTGCCTGTCACGCTCTTTAATCCATCCCCGATTGCTCACCAAGGAGGAACCCGAAGTGCCGGCCTTTGTCTTCTCGGTGCGGTTACCCTCAAGCACAGGCCGCGGATTAGTCGTGTGGGTGTTTGTATGTCATGGATGAGCTTCGGCCAACGGGTTCGAGCCATTTGCGCGGGGGGTACGATAGTTGGTTTACACAAAAGGACCTCCATTTGGAGGCATTGGTGCGTGTCGTGTTTGGACCGTATTTCTGGCGACCTGCGCACGCGCGGAAGCCGGGAGTGCATTGGTTGGTGGCGTTACGTTTGTTTCCAATGGTTCCTATGAATCTGGAAGTCCCCAAACACGTCGTCAACAGGCAGAATCTTTTAAATCCATTTCCATCGAGATGGTGCTAGTATTCATACGCCCCCCCGGCAAGTCCCCCGAACATGTGTTGCCGATGTTTCTCAGATTGTTCAGGATTGCGTTCATCTACCTGGTAGAGTTTGGGGGTTTGGCACGGCTTGGTCCCGAACCGTTTCCTTTCGGCCCCGAACCGCACCTGCACACGTTCCCGTGTGGCGGGTTCGGCCGTTCGATCGGACCTACACCGTTCGAAGAATTGCGGTTGCTTTGAATTGCGGTGAATTTCATGGTGAAACCCCTTCAACAAGGGAACTGCTGCATCAGTTTTTTTCCCAAACGAGAATCAGCAAACAGTCAGTTCTGGTGCTTCGGACATGTGTGCTAACAGCTAACAAGCCAGCTGGATTGAAATGGTTTTTGGTTCCTGCATGGATCTTGGCCAGTTTCGCCTCCACTGTGGTTACAAGGTCTCGACCGATTTCAGCAGCAGTACAGATGTGTGCACTATGCGGGCAAGTAGAAGTAATGTTGACCTCTGATTAATAAACGGGTGGTGGGTTCAGTAATCAGGGCGGGAACTTGGCCAACATGAGTTCAAGCATCGCAAGCCAGGGGGACAGCCTAAATCACTCCCGAATCCCAGCAAGAGATCCTCGACCACTTTCTCGACCACAACAGCCCATCACCATCCATACGGAATTTCCTGTGTGCCATGTTTGCCCCGTAGACATGCCAGATGCTGTTCCTGGGGGCGTCGCTTCGCCGTGCGCGTCAGGCGCTCCGGTGGCGAAGGAGCCGTCCTCCGAGGAGGTGTGGCGGGGGGTGCCACAACTCAAGGGCCCAAGGGCGTGGTTGTTGGTTTTTCTTGGAAGCTCCTGTTTTCCAATGTCAACCGGGGGAGGGTTTTTGTTGTATGCTTTTTAGTTCGTTTGAATTTGGGGTGCGGATCAAGGGGTTCGTTTATCATCAGTAGGTCACCATTTTCCTATGCCATATGCGTCCAAAAGTGTTTCTGAACCTGATGCCAGGCCTAACTACGTGGACGCTGTTTCTTCACATCTCCAACAAGTGACCCTCTGAAAAGTACACCATTTATGTCAGAGTTCCGTCCTTTTAAGGGTGAGTTCATCCTTGTTAGAGGAGAGTCACAATCGCACCACCACCTGCTGGTGGTGGTGGCAACGTGGAATCATCTGCGTAGGTCTTACTGCCACTCACATCATAAATTGAGCACTGCACCCGATGCTCTATGTTCAGAGCGCACCGCACAGTCCGCGTGGCGCATGAAAACAGGTGTGGTCCAAGGATTGCGTGAACACATGTCATGGTCATCCCATGCGGTTTGACTGGAGCACCCATAAAAAGACCGGTGTGGCTGAAGTGGCTTTCAACGACACGCTGCACAAGATGGGCGGTATGCAGTTGAGACTCTGGACAATCAAACCCAGGTTTGATAATAAAAAAAAAGTGCCGCTGGACCTAGCCCGAGCAAATGGCTACCGGTTCATGGAGTGGACGGTGGAGCGAGAAGCAACAGGAATCAATTCATGGGAGTGGACTGATGAAGAAAAAATAAGAAAAAGCCTCAACCAGGTGGTCCACTTGAAGGTTGCTTTGATCAAGAAAGAGCATTTGGATATGTAGTGACTCCTTCTATCGCAGCTCGCATCGCATATGTAGTGACAATATGTATGACTCCTATCACAGCTGTAAAGAACGATATGTAGTGACTCCTATCGCATCGCAGCTCGATCTTTCCTTCAGCCAACCCATCAGCATGTGACAACGTTGGCCCTTGTTGGACATATGCCGTGTGATGAAGCCCCCGGCGTGCTGCGTGCCGTCCGCCCTCGTAGTACCACAACGGATGGATGTTCAGTCGTGACCCATACCCAGACACGACTAATGGGACTGCCATAGGACTTCCGCCCCATTGACCCCCATGGCACCACCTGGCCGTTTCTCGGCAGTCCTATGGCAGTCCCAAGCAGGTCGTGTCTGGGATATCATCAGGTCGCATCATCGTCGTTTGCAGGTCTCACCATGGAACCGGAGGCCACCATGATGCCGCATGACGAACCATCGAGCATTCAACTTGGCGACAGACCCCAAGTGGGTATGCGTTGCGTATGATAGAGCCTGTGATTGAAAGCAGCACGTGGCAGCATCCCAAGAGAATCTGAAATAGATTAAGTCATACATCCTGCACTGTCCCTCGCAATCCACGTCTTGTCTTCCAGTGTTATTTCCGAAAATGAAATGGTAGAATGTATTTTTTTAAGTGCAACATAATCTGTTTGGCAAAGATAAGAACTTGAGCAACGCATCCACAAGGTGCATACTTCCATTTGTGAGCAGATCGTTGCATCGTTTTGCCATGTCTCTCCCATCGACCACGAAATGCGAGCCGACCAGCACAAGTTCTTCTTACGACCGGTCTGGTCAAAGCCTCACACGTCGACCGAGGGTGCATCCCTCCATGCCTAGTCATACGTCTCGTCCCATCCATCCAGTCATACGTGGCCCGCGTTCCAGGAGGGCCAGCCGTCCCCTACTCGACCCGTGGCCAAGCAGTCCAGCTTGAAGAAGTCCATTGGCAAGACCTTCCAGTCTAAGCTTATCAGCATATGGGCCAAGAAGAAGAAGACGCACGTGAGGTCTAAGAGTGAGACTTTTTGAGGGGCAAACTAGTTATGTAGCGAAAGTGAATCTCAATGTAACAGAGTGATTTGCTCTTGATCAAATCTTGGTTGGCATGTTTCTATCACACGAGTGCTTGTGTTTGCTTTCCGCGTGTAATGATACATCCGGCATTCATCAATATGAGAGTTTTTGGTGTGTATACTTGGACACTCTTGCAAGCTCAAGCGCGCCCTCACAGTGACGAGCTCGCTTTACTTGCATAAAACACAGAAACATATTTGATTAGCCATCATTTTGCTGTATACGGGGTGACATATTCAAAGCTACACCTGCAATAAAGGCGACTTGGTTTTGAGATTGTGTTGCTTGCTACCATGCACTTGGCAAAGGGAGGATGGTTCTTTACGAACAGAACGCAATTAGTCGACATACCCAAACTTGCTGGAATTTTCAGAGTCTCATGTCCAATTTTGCCTGAGTCACCCTCAGGCTCCTACAAGTGGTCCCAATTCGTGGTGCCATAGGTGTCCACCAACATCCTCTTGCTTCAACATGTTTTCCCAAGGCTTTGGACCCACCGGATATCCACTGGACGCCGTTCACCACCAGCGTTCGGACCCCCACCCTTCGACGAATCGCCGTTCGACGAATCGCGGTTGGGTTCCGCAGGGCTTTCGGCTGCACGTCGCCAAAGGCCTCAACCCGACGCGTTTTTTTGGCGCGTTCGCGGTTTGCGCGGCTTTTGACGTTCGTGGGAAACCTCGTGGAAAACCTCGTGGAGCGAATGTCTCGCGTGCGGCGTGTCCGTTCTTGACTTCTGTGATCGGTTTTTCTATGCTTTTTTGAAGGCCGCGAGTAAGTGGGAGTCAGTGAGAGTGAGAGTGAGAGTGTGAGTGCGTGGGTGAGTGCGTGCGTGGGTGAGTGGGTGGGTGGGTGAGTGAGTGAGTGAGTGTGAATGTGAGTGAGAGTGAGAGTGAGCATCTGAGAGCACAAGGTGCTGTGCCTGCCGCGAAATCTGCAAACCATTTCGGAAAAACACGGAAAGCGGAGCAGCAGCAGAGAAAAAGGCAGCCAAGTGGACAAACATCACGTAACATCGCCCCGCAAAAATGTAAAATAACAGCAGCAAAGCCTTCAACATAGATCCCACGGCCCCAATCACTTCCAACATACCTCCACGAGAAGCCCCAAGAGAGCCCCAACATTGGGTGAAACGTGCCAATATGGAAAAGGATATGTCTCAAGAATGCACCAAGATCGCGGAAGATTGGCACAAGCGTGCCCCAATTTTGACCACCCACGGAGCAAGCTTTCATAAGCAAACAAAAGCTCTCAAAAACACCTTCATTACACTTGTCGGACCTCATTTTTTTCATTGCTTTCACAGTGTTTTATGCGCATTGCCCTTCAATGCCTTTGAATGCTTGAAAAAAGATAAACCTCAAAAACTGCCTCCCATGCAGGTAGTGATCTGTGCCGGGTGGAACTGCAAAAACGAAGAAGTTTTGGCAGAAAGCTTCGTCGCAGCGGAACTGCGCTGCGGGTCATGAATGGGCATAGCCGCCAGAGGATGCCTTTTGAAGACATCGCTCTGGGCCAACATGAAGAGACGCCAACTGGGACGACTGGGATGCTGATGCAGAATGCCTACTGGTCGACCTCAAGACTGAACCCAAACTTCGAAGAGAGAGGAAAACACTGGAAGCTGAGAGTCGCGCTGTGGACTCAGACCAAGCTGGCAATACATGGCCAGACGTGCCGGGTTCTCCACAGAGCAGATGGGCTGAACTCCAAGACTTACAACGCCAACTCCTTCTCGACCAAGCACCACTCCCTTCTTCCAGCTCCTCCTTGATAGCCAGTCGCCCACGATCCCATTCTGCATCCGCCATATTATGGCATTTGCGCCGGGCTTTGGTGGGTATGGACCTTTTCTCATCCTTTGGGAGTGCAGTGCGCCCGAAACTCCAATTGCTTTTGGCAGCTACATCGACCAGGTGGAGCTGACTCAATATTTGCAGCTGAGCAGGGCGGTGGCGCATTGTCTGGGCACCAGCAATCGAAATGCATTGAGCAAATACCATGTTTGTGTGGGAGGAAATGAGAGCGGAGTTGGGGCACGACCCGGTGCCAGGTTGGACCTTAAGGGCCTCTAGTAAAATGCAACTTGTTGAAGGCGAATAAGCTCAACACAAACCCACCCAATGCCATTTTTTATGGTAAATTAAATACAATGTTTTATCCACCTTCGAACATGGCCCCCACGGTCTGCAAATCAGCCTGGCCCCCCCCCACCTCCCCCTTTCCCTTACGATAATACTTCCAAGGGCTACAGCGTTTTCCGTCATGTGCACTTCGAGGTTCAAAAAGTGCTGTGCCTGCCACGAAATCTGCATTTGGAGGTTCACAAAGTGCTATGCCTGCCACGAAACCTGCACTTCTAGGTTCACAAAGTGCTGCGCCTGCTACGAAATTTGCACTTCTAGGTTCACAAAGCGCTGCGCCTGCTACGAACTCTGCACTTTGAGGTTCACAAAGTGCTGCGCCTGCCGCGAAACCTGCTAACGAGCCACATGTCCAAAAGTCAGGATTCGCTGCACCTGACGAAATCAGAGCGCCTCAATCACCATGTCCAAAGTGCTGCACCTGCCACGAAGTCTGCACTTCGATTTAAAAACGCTCCGATCCCTTGCATAAGACCTTGGGGAATCCTACGTGTTCCTGCTCCTCGACGGCGGTCATTGGCTCTTCCTCGTCCTGTCGCACGGCAACGCAAACGCAAAGAGTGTCGCAGGAAGACTTGTCCTTCATGACATTCCTGGCTAAGGCAGGGTCGTAGGAAGTGGCAGAAGCACAACGGCTAAAAGTTTTTGTTTTCATCATGTCATGAAAAGTCGACTTTGGACCACTAAAACACGAGGTTTCCCTTGTGCCTGCCACGAACAGTGACCATCATGTCCGAAAATGCGTGCGGCACCACAACGAGAGCGCAGTCGCGACAAGCACCCGCTCCAACCACCCAGATTTTCCGAGCCTGTGCAGTCGAAATGCACTTTGAGGATTTTGAGAGTGAATGCACTGCAAATAGCAACGCATTAGCCGGACCCGGATGCGCAACACCTCGAATAGACACCGGTGCCGTAAGAACCCCTAGTGTGACCACACTGTTTGGGGAAAAACAGGTTTCGCGAAAGGATGGCAAACCATCAGGCGGCTCCGGGCCTCACGACCGATTAACAAAGCCTGTGCCATGTGTGCATGGCGAGTTCGAAAACTAGGGCAGCATATGGGGATCTTGCAAACTGCGCCCAAATCGGCATTACAATTTCCCAAACTATGATGGAACCTTCCACGCATCGCTGCGGAGACTTTCGAAACCTTTTGGCCTTGAGGTAGATAGGTTGCGGTTTTCTGGTTTTTCATTGGGCGACGCAGGGAATTTGTCTACATCTATTGTGTTTTCTTCCGTTCAATGGTGTTCGACGTGCCAGGTGATCGAAAATGTGTTTCAGACTCGAACTCCTTTCGACTGACCGTGCCACAGACTCGAACCTCCCCAAAAACCCACACACAACGAGCACGGGAACGCACCGCGCCCGTCACCGCGATGACCGCCGCCTCCACCGGGCAGATCGCGTGGACGTCCCCGCGAGTTCGATGAAGCTGGACATGAGCCATCCAGGCGGCACATCCGGGGGGTGCGGTGGCTTCCGCGTGGCGGTTCCCCGTGGCGGTGGCGGTGGTTTCCGCGGAAAAGGCGTTGGTCGGTCGATTTGGAGAGTTTTTGGGGGGTGATCGAATCTGTAATTATATGTTTTTGTTGGTTTTCTGTTGCCGAAAATTTGTTGGAATCATGTGGAAGGTGTATGGGCTCAGGAACCGGAGGCTTACGTTTTCTGAAGGCTGCCCCCAGTGTGAACAAGGTAGACTTCCAGATTCCAGATCAGAAGGGCAACATTCATGTCCTTCTTGGGACAATATAAGGCGACCGTTCTTCTTTAGAGCAGGTTTATCGGTGTCAATGGTCAGCTTCCCTGAAATGACCTAGGCCCCTTGCGGAAATGGTTTGGGCTGCAAAGAGTTTGAGATGGGAAAGGTGGGTGTGGACTGACTGCATGGAGGTTTTAGATCAGTAAAGTCTATCAGTGTCCTCTCAAGAAAACCCTGACACCACTCCACAGTTTGTTGTTCCTCCTCCCAGTTGTTCATGATCCACTCTTACAGTGCATGGGAAGTCCCAATAAGGAAGTTCAATGATATCAATCAAAGTGGTCATGTGGAATATGACCAAAGCAAGACGTGAGGCTCACATGAGTCGAATTGGATGGGTTTCAGTGGGTAGATGACGATGTTTCCTATTGGTTTTGCTCAAGAAACAAGGACCTCTCTACCTCTCCATGTCTGTTCGAAGGCTAGCAACGGCAACCTCAGACCGATGCGTTCCAAGGGCGTCCACGGTTTCTCAGAGCAGAGTCTTTTCTCCGATACGCTGGGGAAGCGGAAAGCGTCAGGATTGGTCTTTGCTCAGCAGGACTGGGGATCATCACTGGTCTCAGCTGGATCTGGTCGAGTTAGATGGAGACGAGAGTTAGCCCAGGCAACGAGAGTTGGGGTTTGAAGGCCACCAGACCTCTTGGTTTCACCGGACCTGCACTGCCATACCTCGTGTTCCACCGCTTTCCGGGAAGGGATATACAGTCAATGCATGTTTTGTCTTCAAAGCCACACGGAACAGCAACTCAACTGGTGGTTACTTAGCGATGGCGGTTCATTGGGTTGGACCCCTATTTTTGTGCGTGAGCGAAGGTCGGGAAGGATGGCCACACACCAAAATCCAGCTATATTTGTTGAATTTGTTGTTCTTGGTGAATCAAAGACCATGCATTCAATTCATTCAACTAAGTTTGCTGTCAGAAAATTCCACATCAGAAGAAAAAGTAAGGTGGCACGCATGGCATCTCTGTGTAAGACTCAAAAACATGGTGACGACATGTCTAAGGTCTTTCGCTCTATCCCAGATGTCAGGGACGGTGGGGGGGGCATCATCCTTTCTTTGCCTTGGCTTCCGAACGTCACGATGTTTCGCAGTCCTCCCACTCATGGTCGGTCAGAACCGCAGTCAAATGCCATCAACTGGCGCCGCTTAAGATTGTTTCAGGTCTTTTCTGGCGGAAAAAGAATTTGTGTGATTCAATTCTTTTTCTGTTCAAAAGACGTGTGTCGTTCAATTCAAAGACTTGTTTGGTTGCCCCGTTTTGGTCCTTGGCACCCAAGCCTCGATGGTCGGAAGGGCATCATACGGGTGCGGATGGTGCATGCGTTGATGGAGTGAAAACCAGACCCTGTTACCCATGAGCAGAAGCAGAAGGAACAATTTTCTGGGCGTCAACAGATTCCAGGTCAAAACCGCCCTAGAACAGGTGTTGTCCCAGATTGGATCACCCTCCTCTATGAGGCGCTTGCGCCTCCTACACCAAGTAGGCATCAGGCCAAGGCAGGGATACCTTTGCTTGATCCCCTCACTGGCAACAATCCAAACAAGTACATCATCACATCATCTACGAGGCGAGCCTATGTGGAAGGCAGGTGTTCGATTTGAAGTGCTGAGTTCTTTCAGTGACAGTCAAACGGTGCCAAGGTCCTGGATCCAAATTGTGCCAGGCATCTTGAGGTCTTGATTGATTTATATTTCTGAGGTCTTTGGCGTGTGTTCCGCATGAGCACTCAGTGGGGTAAGACCAGGAAGTTGCCACTCAAACTTTCCAGAGGTGTCCACGGTGTCGTCCTTCCATGCAAAAAGTCATGAAAACAGATGGACAAAAGAATGCACCCATTCATCCCCTCAGCCACCCCATCGGTCTTCACGATGTTTGACTTGTTTCGGCCCGCGAAAGAAAAGCGAGGAGCCGAACTTTGTGATGGGTCACCATTTGACCGCCTGCAGTTTTATGTGGCGGCCCCGGTGGGTTTGGGAGGGTTCTTGGAGCGTCTTGATTCCAAAGAAAAGAGAGAGATTTCAGACGGCTGCACACCAGAGAGAAACTTCTCCGGGTCAATGAAACCTGCAGAAGAGGAGGGACGATTTGAAGAACAGATCCCATTTTTTCCCAACATGCACGTCGCACGTCATGCTGGAACTCTGTCTTTCGAGCGGGTGGCCCCCAGACGAAGCAAGCGGACGAACTGGCCTCGGCCCCACGTGGCCTCTCACCGTCCGAAGGGGTCAGAAAGCTTCAGGTTCGGCAAGTCAACAACCTCAGGTTCTCTGCGTCGGGACACACCGGCGGTCCGTTTTGTCCTGTAAGGGTGGTCTCGTGCCGAACGGTTCCTGTGTGGCGCTTGTTGAACTCATTTCAATACCATGGGACATCATCGGACAGATCCAGCGGAGCTGGCTAATTCCTGGATGTCCAAACCATGTCCAAAACCACGTTGCAGGGACTCCCTGAACCCAAGCTCTTGCAGATAAAAGAATTCCGCAAGAGTACTTCATACATATAGTCATACATAGAGTCATGCCGCCCATCGTTCCCAAGTTGAACTCCAAACACAGTGGCCCACCGCAATCTGCTGGTGTCCCCCATGGGGTGGTTCCGTTCGGTTCGGTGGTCATATGTTGCAATAGATGTTCGAAAACCTTAGAAAAAGACAAACCACTCTTTTTCCTCTTCTGTGCGTCGAAGGCGTTTGCCTGTGACCAGTATGCACTGAATTACGAATTGCATGCAGCCGAGTTGAAATCAGGCCCCATTGCAGCCTGTTGATCGAACGACTGTACGAAGTGTTCAACTGTCGACAGAAAATCACTCGGCAGGCTCAATTCTGGGCCTTCCTTGCGCAACTGGTGTTCGAAAAGCCACGCCAAACATGAACAAAAATCCGGCGGATATTGCTTTAGCACACCAGTCTTCCAAGACCCATCGGCATTTTTGCCGATTGCCGAGGCTTTCGGCAACTGGGTCGTGCGGTGTCGCACAAGGATCTGTTCAGGGTCATTGCCACCGTTCAGGATGAGCAAATCAGTGGCTTTGGGGGTCGCTCCCCCATAGTGCCCTTGGAGCACTCGGATCTTCTTCACATTCGAAAAGCGTAAAAAGAAAGCCACGACATCAAGTTTCCAAATACTTGGATCATTGGGCTCAAGTCCAACCTCCGCTGGGTGCTCGATCACCGCGGTCGCCCCAGAGAGAATACTAAACCAGAAAAGCGTAAAGGAAATCCCCAAGAGGAGACTTCCAGTGCTGACCTGGATATGCTCTTTGAAGGTCAGATCTTGCAATCCAAATGGCATCTGTTGGCTGCGAACTGGTCGCGGTCCTCCAGGAAGTTCGTGTTTGCGGGCCTTGCTCCACGTCTCGCACGGTGGTCCCGCGACCCATCCAACAAGCATGCCAGATTGGAGGGCTTTCAGGAAAAAGTCCATCGTTGCAGCTCTCCCTAAATCACCCAGCTCTTTATGGAAAATGATATCAATCGACAGGGCTGTGAAACCCATCTGTTCCCAATAGTACTGCAGGTCGCGGTCTCTACGAGTTCCTGAGAACAGATGTGCCACCATCCTTGGCTTATATCTTGGCGCGTCTGGCACGATGTATGGCAGCATGTCTAGACAAAGGCCTTGCGTCGCAAAGAAGTGCTCAATAGTCTCTGTTGGCACCTCCACAGGCAACTCCCGTTGTAAGAACCACGCTGCTGAGGCCAGATCCAAAAACTGCTGAACAACATCACATGCATTCATAGCAGTGAGAGCTTCAACAACCTCTGGCATCTGACTCCATGCACTCATGCTCACAAGGATTTCATTGTGATACAGCGTTGTAGATCTTGTCGCTTCTCGCAGCCGCTCGATCAGAGCATGTTGGCTCACTCGAGGACGTAAAGAAACATTCCACTGATTCCACAATTCAGTCCGTTGTCGCTGAGCATAGCTTTGGTGCCCTTGGTTCATCGGTGGCATTGCCTTCGGACCCTCTGCCTGCAGCACCGGGTCCGGCAACGTACCTCGGGCATCATCATCGACTTTGCTGTTCACACCTGGTTCTCGCAAAACTGCTAGTCCTCTATCGCAGTAGAACTGCTTGCAGTCTTGGCTATATCGAACATGGTTCAGCAGGTCGGAATGACGTGAGTAGACTCGCAGACATGACTCACAAACAGTTCCTGTGACATATTCACGGACAAACGTGGGTCCATCATGCTGTTTGAAAGAGTGTACTGCACATGCTGCGGCTGAGTCAAAAACTCGTCGACATTGCAAACAGTAATGTTCTCCTTGTATTCGGCGAGAGTCGCAGCCTGGCACCAGACGGCATGCTTGCACACTCCGGAAAATGGTCTCGTGCCATTTGGCCCATTTGTATTTGCGCTCAGCAAAGTTTGGCTGCGTCTCACAGCTCGCTTGATAAGGCTCTTCCATCTCATAGGCGCCTCACAGACATAGTCAGCAAAGTCGTTCCATTCTCGTGTTGGGCACGGACAGGGCTCTGTCGGGCAGAAAGATCGCAGCCACTCAAAATCCGTTTGGATGAGTGTCCACCAAACTTGTTCAGTTTGCACCATTGCCCAAAAAAGCTCTTGGCCCTTGGCTGCTAGGTGTCCTAAATATCGGAGCCTTGCTTGGGTTAAAAGCACTTCAGGTCGTAGGAGCTCAAGCTCAACAAAGATCTTTGCTTGTCCCCAATGCATAGCCTGGGCACCGAAATGCAAGATCGCAGCTCGTCTGTAAAGCTTGAACAAACCTTTCTGAAAATGCTGACGCTCTCGTGCCGTGGCAGGATTCCAGACTGCGGCATTATACGAAATCACTGACATGGCTAAGGACTCGAAAAATTGAGACCACTGCATCAGCTTGTTACCAAAGATTTGGGTTTTATATCTTGTCAGCACATTATGCGCCTGTGCGAATTTTGTTCGGAACTCTTTATCATGGTTTTGCCTTCTTTGCATCCAAGTACCAAGATGTTTATAGTCACCAACTACCCTCAGTTTGTCTTGGACAAAGCTTGAAGCAGTAGGAATCTCATAGTTGCTAGCACACAAATCTTTCCGAACTTGTACAGAGTGCTTTCCCCGAATGTCAACAAGGAGCTCGGACTTACCTTTCTTGAGATTAGGCACCAATCCTGCTACAAAAAGCGCATCGAAGATCGCCCCTGCAACTTCTCCAGCAACTTGGAGCAGGTCAATGGCTTGTCTGACCATAAAAGACACAGCAAGATCGTCTGCCCAAATCGGTGCAACAATGCCAAGTTCGTGCTGGATTGCATTATTTGCCCCTGGACCCAAAATGCCTCCACCAGAGACAACAATTTCTGGTCTGGACATCTGCAAACGAGAAAACACAGGTTTCAGGATTTTGGCCATTGCGAACCCAAAACAGACGTCCGCGAAGGTATCGCCTGGTCGCGATCCTCGTCGTGAATGTACAATCATCTCACTCCCCCGCATTTGGAACCATGTGTTTTCATAGAACTGTCGGAACATCGCCTTAGTGAAAACATCGACCTCAGAAGCATCTATGGCCGGCCCTAATGCTAGAAGCTGTTCAAATTCTATCCATGCATCTTCAGGCAGGTGCAGGTCCTTGAACAGTGCATATGCATTCCGGGTATCTGCAGCCGATCCAACAATATGTCGTCTGATCAGGCTATAAAAGGCGTTGCTAACATCTACAAAAAGCACCGCAAAGCTCTTACCTGTCTGATGTGCAACAGACTGGTGCAAACGTAGGATATGAGCTGCTTGAGTGATGGAGAAACCAGGGACACCGCCCAGCTGGAGCGGTAGGCGGTTGCCTTCAAAAGTCGTCACCAAGGTTTTCCGGTATACAGCATGCAGCGCTTTTGCAATTGGCGAGCTTACGAAAAGGCTTCGATAATTGTCACAGCTACCAGGGTCTCCCCGTTTAAAAGCCGGAACAAGAAACCCTCCCTTGAAGACGAAGGCTTCTCTTTGACACACCACTTGTTTTAGAATAAGCGGGAAATACAAAGAGGCCATAGTGGCAGGCGCCATATGCAAAATGTCTCCAGGGATTCCGTCAAGGAAGTATGCTCGGTTCTTTTTTGTCCTTCGGAACTGTCTCTCAATCTGGAAGATCGTGGGCAAGTCACTCCAGGCGGGGACGACTTTCTCTCTCTGGTCAAGCTGGTCACATCGAGCAAGCAGCTCTTCCACCGTGGTCTGCACACCATCTTCTTGACGAGCAAAATGCTGCCTCCAGATATTCGAGAGCTCGTCAAAGTCCTGGACGACTTGACCTTGATCGTTACGCACCATGGGCAACGGTTGAATATTTGATGATTTCTTGGGGTTACGAACACCCGCCCCTCGGAGCGCTTGAAAAAATCTTGCTGCTTCATGTGCGGCATCCGTCTTGCCAAGTCTTCTAGGAAATCAGTGCGGTCCCTTCGCAGTTGTTTTTTGAGGGTCTTGGTCAGCTCGGCACTCTGAAGCTGGGCTTCTCGAAACCTAGAAAGCAAAACGAGGGTTCGTATCAAAAGCTTCTTTGGCCACCATTCAGCATCACATTGCCTCCAACTCCTCCAACTCTCCCAAATCGTCTGGAGGGCAAGAACTCTACATTGCTCACGAATCGACTGCATTCCATGTCGAATCATGAGCCGGTCTTTGCGGAGAAGCCAGGCCGCATCAGAGATGTACGATCGTCGAGGCTTATCTTTATCCGGTGGGAAGGCCTTAACCAGTCGTGACACGATCTGATCAGACAATACCGCAACGTGTCTTTCAATGTCACATGGCCATGGCGGAGTTCGAATGTCTGCTAGAATTTGGTCCAGCTGCTGTGGAGTGCTTGCCTGAAGCTTGTGTCGATCAAAGTGCTTCTGCGAAGCTTTAAAAATTCGTCTGGCCTTTGATACTGTCAACTCTATAGCTAATGGCGTATGGTCGCTTCGCACTTGCGCAGTTTCAAGAGTGTGAATCGGGTAT